TTAAATTAATGAAATCTTGAATTTACAAGTTAGACTCTGCTTTCTCAATGATAATCAAAATTAGTGCAGGAATGTCATTGAGCACACCTGTACCTCTCAACAAAATGTAAGTATACAAAGTTAACACAATAGCCACAAAGGGACTTTTATGTATCTCTCTTATGAACTATTCAGTACACAAAGTTACAATGGTATTATTTTTGAAATTATCTTTCAAATCTTAAAAGTCTCTCCACTGAAAACAATCAAGGTTCCTTGAAGAATGGCTGGCTGCAGAGGGAAGGCAGAAAATGCACAAGATGAGCTGGAAATTTCCTACAATAGCAAAAGAACAGGTGCCCCAAAAATGAAGGATTTAATAAAAAATATTAAAGGACACAGGAACCAGCCCAAGGCAAAATAAGAGGTAATTTGAACACCAAAATATATAATGCCATTAACAGAATTATAATCTACTGAAATTAAGAATTCAAACTGACATTAAACAAGAAGATATATAAATATGTAAATAAAGGAAAACTCTTTCTTACAGTAGAAAGCCAACTAATGAATGTACAAGTAGCAGGTAGATTAGAAAACCACCACCTGGCAAGATTCAGGCAAGAATCATCAATGTTAATACTCATGTATTGAAAAGATACAGTTTCAGAGTTTTATTCTCATTAGATACTAATTACAAACGGTAAAATAACTGTACAAAAACTCCCACACATTAACTTATGATCACTCTACCAGTAATGGGACAAAGAAACAGTTACGTGCCTCCTCAACAGTGAAGAGCTCATCATCATTTCAGTGGCATTACTGCCAAAAGCACGTAACTGATGAAAACATGGGGAAACAAACCCAAATTGCACAACACTATACAATAACTGGCTTAGACTCTTCAAATATCAGTGTTGGGTCCGGCGAAGTGGCATACCGGGGAAAACCGCCGCCAGCAACACCAGCATCCCATATGGGCAGCGGTTCAAGTCCCGGCTGCTCCACTTCTGATCCAGCTCCTGCTCATGTGCCTGGGAAAGCAGCAGAAGATGGCAAATGTTTGGGCCCCTGCACCCACATGGAAGACCTGAAAGAAGCTCCTGGCTCCCATCTGGTCCTGCTCCTGCCTTTGTGGCCATTTGGAGAGTGAACCAACAGATCAAAGACCTGTCTCTCTCTCTCTTTGTAACTCTTTCAAATAACTAAATCTTAAAAAAAAAAATTAGTGCAGTGAAATACATACATAACACACAAAGACACACACACATTTATACACAAACAAAAGCAAACAAGGAACTGTTCTAGACTAAAACGAGACAAAGAGACAGAATAACTAATTGCAGGACACGACATTGAAAGTTTATCTTTTGGGACAGTTAGCAACATCAAAATAACATCTAGATTAGCATCTAGATAAGAGTTTTGATTACTATTATGCTTTATGTAAAAGAATTCCTTGTTTGTAGGAAACAAAAAAAGAAAAAAAGCAAATGGAGTGAAATATATGGTATTCTTAACATTTTTCTTGCAAAACTTTAAACCCAAATGCATGGGACCCTGCCACCCATGAGAACTGGCAAGTGACTGCTAATGGGCAGGAGGTTTTAGGGAGGCAGTGGAAGAGATGGTGATAAAGATATCCCAAAATTAACTATAGTGATGGCTAAACAACTCTGTAAACACACATTAAACTACCAAACAGTAAGCTTAAATAGGTAAATTAAATTGTACAGTATGTGAATCATCTCAAAATACAAACTGTGTGTGGTTTTGATATCTACAAAAGCAACACCAAAAGCAAAGCTTGGATCCTGGTTCAAAAAATCAATCATAGGGGCTGGCACTGTGACATAGAGGGTAAAGCCGCCACCTGCACTGTTGGCGACCCATATGGGTGACAGTTCGAACCCCAGCTGCTCTACTTCCGATCTAGCTCTCTGTTATGGCCTGGAAAGCAGTGGAAGATGCCCCAAGTCCTTGGGCCCCTGCACCCACGTGGGAGACCCGGAAGAAGCTCCTGGCTCCAGATCGGTACAACTGAAGCCATTACAGCCATCTAGGGAGTGAACCAGTGGATGTAAGACTTTGTCTCTCTCTCTCTGCCTCTGTCTCTTTGTAACTCTGCCTTTCAAGTAAATAAATAAATCCTAAAAAAAAGTCAATCATAAAAAAATTTACACATGGACTAATTTTGCGGCCAGCATTCTAAATGAGCACAGGTTCCACAACCTGCTAATGTATCAGGGAAGGCAGCAGAAAAAGACCTAAGTGCTTGGGCCCCTGCCACCCATTCAGGGCACTCAGATGGAGTCCCAGGCTCCTGGCTTTGGCCTGGTCCCAAACTGGCTGTTTTGGCCATTTGGACACTGAACCAGCAGATGGAAGGTATCTCTCCCTAATGCTGCCTTTCAACTAAGTAAGTATATTGGGGGGGATTTCAAACACAATGCCACAGTCAAGACAGTGACAAAGAAAATCTCGCAAAATTTCTTAATACACATAGTGAGTATATACTAGTGTTTACTAAACAAGAGCTGTTTTAAAGGTATAACAATTCACAATCACAAATAATTCACAAAATGTATGTATTATATAGTTGCCAGACTACAATGGTAGAATACTTCTATTTACATTAATTACTCTTAACTCATTACAATTGATACTCAAAGCTGGTAAATATAAACACATACTCACACTGTGCCTTTTATCTATTCTTTGATTAATCTTCCTTAGTTCACCAGATGGGGTCAGAGATGGTTTAAAATAAACAGTTCGATTTGCAGCTACAGAAATTGGCTTTGGGGTCATAAGTCTCTGCACTGGGGGATACTGAGAGTCCACCTTACATAAGTAAATAGAAATCAAAGACAAACATGTATTTTTGAATATGTATCAGTAACTCACATCTAAATATTATTTAACAACAGCTAATGTGACCTAGAGGAATAAAGGGACATAAATACTAAGAAAAAATTAGTAGCAGAACCAAGGAGATATATATATAAATATATACATACACATATATATTTATGCACACATTTATTTATAAACATATATAGTTTGAAATTGGACTTGTAAATAGACTTTATTCCACATATGCATACATATAAAATAGAACTATATTCAAAATGGTTCCACAAATAAAGTTTCTATAAAATGATTTTAAATAAGTGAACTAAAATTGATGTCACTGTGTCCCTGAAACTACTGAATATATTTTCTTTAGCTGCAAAAAAGATATTTTTAAACTAGTTATCAAAATACTTTAATTCCTTAAATGTGAGCAAATTCTTCTCCAAGTTGATCCCCTGTCCTTCTTATTTAATAACCAATCAAAAAATGGCGTCCAGATTCTGAAATGAACTGATTTCACTAAGTACACAAACATTTTATTAATGGTCCTTTGCTCCACTAAATCACAGTAAAATTCCTGATGGTGTAAGATCACTATAAAGCCAAAAACCACTCTGTCCAAGAATGTAACACTATGAATAGAGTCCTTTCACCCCAGAGCAGCTGTTAGCATTGCTTTCCAGGGCAAAAAGGCTCTGTATAGTTTGTAGCTTTTCCCCAAATCCTCATCACAAGTGTAGCCCAACCACTCAAGGATAATCTACTTTGTAGAGTGTTGGAATTACATCCATGAAATATGAATTACATTATATCCTGCCCTTTTTATTCTCTTACACCATGTTAAATAAGCTGTTATTGATACAATACTGAACTACTAGAAAAATTATCAGTAAGAATCATGGCACAATTTAAAAAATTTACTTTTCAAATAATCTGATATAAATGAGGATCTAAGAAAAGCCAACAAATTAATCCCATTAATGGAAACCAACAGAAGATTCCCTCTTGTTTAATTATAAATATCTACATAATTCTAAAACTGAGAAGCCATACTCTTCCAAAAGCCATTTTTATTTTCCTCTGTATCAGAATTTCAGTAACAATAATTACAATTTACTAATAATTTATATGTGTACCTGTAATTAATTCAATTACAATTTTAATAATTACTTTTAGGGAATTTGGTGTTACAATAAATGCTTTCACAAGTAAGGATCCAGGAGTACAGCATTGTTGCACAGTGGGTTAAGCTGTAATGCTGCCCTCCCATGAGCGCTGGTTCAACTTCTAGCTGCTCCACTCTCAAATCTGACTCAGCTCCCTTCTAATGTACCTAGGAAAGCAGAAGAACATGGCCCAAGTATTTGGGCTCCTGCTACCCACATGGGAGACCAGGATAGAAATGGAGACCCGGATAGAAATGGAGCTCCAGGCTCCCAACGTTGGCCTGGCCCAGCCCCAGCTGTGGCAGTCAGTTGGGAAGTGAACTAGCAGATAGAAGATTTCTCTCTGTAACTGTCTTTTGAATAAATAAACACCCCCCTCCCAAAAAAAAAACAAGTAAGGATCCATGAGTCTGCTTTTCCTGAAATATACTTAATCATCCATAAATACTTATATATCAAAAAAGGTATCTTACTTAACCCAAACTATCAAACATTTCATTTTTCCCACAGTAACCTCCAAAGCTAATCTGAACCAAACAGGATGCAGTAAAAGGCCATCAATATACAATCTATATATTTTGTATCAGCTCCAATATCTTACAAGAGTATTTTGGGCCGGCGCCGCGGCTCAGTAGGCTAATCCTCCGCCTAGCAGCACCGGCACACCGGGTTCTAGTCCCGGTCGGGGCGCTGGATTCTGTCCCGGTTGCCCCTCTTCCAGGCCAGCTCTCTGATATGGCCAGGGAGTGCAGTGGAGGATGGCCCAGGTCCTTGGGCCCTGCACCCCATGGGAGACCAGGAGAAGCACCTGGCTCCTGCCATAGGATCAGCGCGGTGCACCGGCCGCAGCGCGCTGGCCACGGCGGCCATTGGAGGGTGAACCAACGGCAAAGGAAGACCTTTCTCTCTGTCTCTCTCTCTCATTGTCCACTCTGCCTGTCAAAAAATTAAAAAAATTTTAAAAAAATAAATAAATAAAAGAGTATTTTGGCTGTCCAAAGATGTGTCAAATTGAAATTCTAATATACACAACAGATTTGACATAATGTTGGTTAATGAGGAAAGTTGAAAAAAAAAAATCACTCAGTTCCTTGAGGGTTTAATTCACTGAACTTCTAAATATTAAACACTTCAAGCTTTGTTCACTCATATCACTATTTATCAAAAGGTAAAAAATTTAGCCTTAAAGGCTGTCAAGAACCTGAAGATGGAAAATACCAAATAACCAAAATGAATGGTCATCTACTATACATATAGAATCTTGCAGAGACCCTCAGAAGAGGCTATCATGTCCAAGTAAAAGAGTTTTATTTTAAAACATATTCCCTAATGACTATCAACTAAATCCAATTTGTGTTCTTGTTAACTTTAAATATAACAAAATTGCTGACACTGTGAACAGCTAACACGGAAGAAGTCTTACCTTTTGGCTTTTAGCCTGATGATCTGAGATATTTATCCCACTCCTATCAAGAGGCTATAAAAAAAAAAAAGTACTATCAGAAAACAGATGGGAAACTGAAAAATACAACTTTCATATATAAAAAGGTTCAAAAGTCAACTTACAGAATTTAAAGGTGAAGAAACAGATGGAATTCTTTTTGCATCCTGTTAATAACAGAATTTATTATTTGATAATAATAACAAAATTAAGTGTTTTCACTAAGCTCAGATTTTGTTATACTTCTGTATTTGTGACTTTAAAAACTTACTGCTAGCGGGCTTGACATCTTCTCTAAAGACTGCAATATTCGTCGAGCTGTTGAACTGGTCACACCATAAGATTGTGCATTAAGTTGCTTAGCTTTCATCTGTCTTCTGACTGGTGCCTATAAAGTAAAAACCTTACATTATTTGTTCCAATGTTAAATCTAAGGCACGTATGAATGCAATGAAAATACTTACAAAATAGAATTAGTGTCCAAAGTGAAATAAGATTGATGGGTTATCAGTAACTTAACTCAGGAAGATGTAATTAAAAGTTCAACTTTTTGTATGCCTTCACCAAAAATCTAATTCTTTGCCTGAGGAATTACTTTACAATGAGAAAGAGTGATCACATAGCATCATGTACCACCCAGAAGATTTGCCAGTTGTATTATGTGAGGATAATGGTTAATAGGTAAAAAGGCTAGCATTAGCTTGATCCTTTTATCCCAGTTATTTAAATAAACTTTTAAGTTAATGAGAACTGAGTTATCAATTATCCTGGGTCTTACAAAACATTTACAGTAATTTTCCAGATAACTAAATAAAGAGATTGTAGATTCCATTACAACAGAAATTTAACAAATCTGAATACCAATGACTTGTTCATATAAATAAGAAAAAAGAACATATTAAAGTAATTAGGCCATGTCTTAACTTTCTTAAAATTAGTGTGAAGGAAAATAACTTATCAACACACAAGTACTCTTTAATAGTGTTCATAAAACCCAATGAAAACATTTCATTTTCTCAAGAATGTATAACATTCCAATAACCACGTGGCTACTACAAAACCAAGTAACCTGGTAATGGTTAAAGGGAAAAGATTTTCAAAACCAAAACACAATCTACTTTTTTATAAACACCTCATCTGAAACCAAATCATAATAGCTACTTTATGTTCCTCTATCATTAACCAAAGTTATTGTATTTTCAGAACAGGTATAGTATACCACAATAGTTTTATTAAGAACTTGGTGCCCATTAGGAGTGCTGGTAAAGCTAGTTTTTTGTTAAGATTTATTTATTTATTTATTTAAAAGTCAGTTACAAAGAGATCTTCATTCTGCTGGTTCTCTCAGTTCACTTCCCAAATGGCCGCAATGGCCAGAACTGGGCAGAGCTGAACCTGGGAACCAGGAACTCTATCCTAGTCTTCCAAATGGGCAGCAGGGGCCCAAGTACTTGGACAATCTTCCTCTGCTTTCCCAAGCATGACAGTAGAGATCTGGACTGGAAGTAGAGTAGCCAGGACTTACAATATGTCCCAGCTCTAACACTCTAGAAAAGAAATTATAAATATTTGGAAGGCTGTGTTAAAAAAGAATTCAACATTAAAAACTACAGACCAGAGGTGGGAATTAGCCCTGGCAGCTAAGATTCTAGCTAAAATGCCTGTGTCTCACATCACAGTGCCTGGGTTAGATTCCGGCTCTGGCTAATGCAGAGCATGGGAAGCAGCACTGACAGGTCAAGTGAAAGAAATGGATTGTGTGTTCCTGGATCCTGGCTTTAACAAGGCTACTGCATTTGGAGAGTGAACCAGCACATGGGAGCACACACTCTCTACCTCTAAAATAAACAAGCAAATAAATAAGCACACAACATGAACGCATACACTACCTCTTTTAAAAAAAATGTGCGTACATATACACAGATATATAAGAAAGAAGCAGGAACATACTTGAATTATTTTATGAATCAAAGGCTTGCATCAGGGCCTACTGAACTGGCTAGTATCTGCAGGATGACGTTGTACAGTGGCAGACTTTCCAGCTCTCTTCCCTGTCTCAGAGACATTATTCAGTCTTCCACTATTAAGTATGACACTAGCTGATAATTTTTTTTTGTAGATATACTTAATCAGATTGAGGGAGTTCTCTACATGTAGGTTTACTGAAAATTTTTATCATGAAATTATGCTGATTTCTGTCAAATTTTTACACATAAATCGACATGTACATATGGGTTTTACCCTTCAGTCTGTTTACATGTAGATGATATTAACTGTCAAATGCTGAACCAATCTTGTATTCCCAGGATAAATGCTCCTTAATCATGACATAGTGGGGGCCAGCACTGTGGCACAGTGGGTTAAAGCCCTGGTCTAAAGCACTAGAATCCCATATGGGCACCAGTTCTAGTCCCAGCTGCTCCTCTTCCAAACCAGTTCTCTGCTATGGCCTGGGAAAGCAGTAGAAGATGGCCCAAGTTTTTGGGCCCCTGCACCCATGTGGGAGACCTGGAAGAAGCTCCTGACCCCTGGCTTCGGATCAGCACAGCTCCAGCCGTTGCAGCTACCTGTAGAGTGAACCAGCAGATAGAAGACCTCTCTCTCTGTCTCTACCTCTCTCTGTAACTCTGTCCTTCAAATAAATAAAATAAATCTAAAAAAAAAAAAAATCATGAAATAGCTTCCTTTCCTTTCTATACTTGTTGGACTCAATTTATAAATATTTTGTAGAGAATATTCATCTATAACTCATGAAGAATATTTATAATTTCTCATAACGTCCTTGTCTGACTCTGCTATTAAGGTAACATTATATGGGATGGGAGAGGGAGTGGGAGATGGGATGGTTGCGGGTGAGAGGAAGGTTATGGGGGGCGAAAGCCACTATAATCCAAAAGTTATACTTTGGAAATTTATATTTATTAAATAAAAGTTTAAAAAAAGGTAACGTTATAAAACATAAAATGCATTTTCCCATCTTTCACAATATGAAGTGGTTGTATAGACCTGGCATAGTTTCAGACCCAGCACTGTGGTGCACCAGGTTAACATGCTGCCCACTGCATCAGCATCCCATATGGGCACCAGTTTGAGTACTGGCTGCTCTACTTTCCATCCAGCTCCCTACTAACACGCCTAGGAAAAGCAGCGGAAAATGGTCGAAGTCCCTGGGCCCCTGCACCCACACGGGAGATCTAGATGTGGCTCCTGGTTTTGGTCTGGCCCAGCCCCAGCTGTTTTGGCCATTTTGGGGATAGAACATCCCTCTCTGTCTCTTCCTCTAACTCACCTTTCAAATAAAATAAATAAATCTCTAATAAAAAAATAATTGGTAAGATTTCATTCTTAAATGTTGGGTAGGGGGTCAGTGTTGTGATTGTGACAGAGTACATTTATTGAGCCACTGCCTAAGATGTCAGCATGCCATATGAGTGCTGGTTTGAGCCCTAGCTGCTAATACACCTAGAAAGGCAGTGGAAGACAGTCCAAGTGCTTGGGCCCCTGTCACCTAAATGGAGACCCAGACTGAGTTCCTGGCCCCTGCGGCTTTTTGGGGAATGAATCAGTGAGTGAAAGGGGTGTGTGTGTGCGTGTGTGTGTGAGACAGTGAGAGAGAGAAAATGAGGGACAGAGATTGCCTTTCAAATAAGTAAATCTTAAAAAAATTATAATGTTAGGTAGAATTCACCAGAGAAGCTATATGAACCTAAAAGTTTTTAGCTGGAAGGAATTTTAACTATGAATTCAATGTACTGAATAGACAGATGCTTCAGCCTATTCTTGACTAATGCCAAATAACATAAAATACTTAGCTATAAATCTAACAAAATATATTCAAGGTCTTACATACTACAAAATATTAATGAAAGAGGAAGCCCTGAAAGACACAGGCATAGGCAAAAAGTTCTTGCTCTGCCTCTCTGTAACTGTCTTTCAAATACATTTTTTTTTATCAGCTTTTAGTTCTTTTTTTTTTTATTTTTATTTATTTGAAAGTCAGAGCTACACAGAGAAGAGGCAGAGAGAGAGAGAGAGAGACAAAAGAAAGAAGGGGGGGGGGGTCTTCCATCCGCTGGTTCAGTCCCCAGATGGCTACAACAGCAGGAGCTGCACCGATCTGAAGCCAGGAGCTTCTTCCAGGTCTCCCACACAGGTGCACGGGCCCAAGGACTTAGGCCATCTTCCACGGCTATCTCTCAGGCCATAGCAGAGAGCTGGACAGGAAGTGGAGCAGCTGGGACCTGAATCGGCACCCATATGGGATGCCGGACTTCAGGCCAGGGCGTTAACCTGCTGCACCACAGCGCAAGCCCCATAAATCTTTTAAACTAAATACATAAATGATTGCCAGAGAGTGAGGAGGAAGAGGTTTCTGGCTACAAGCTGTAAGAAGTAACGTTTTAGATGCTGGAATTCATATAAAAACACAGGAGACCCCGAAAAGCTAAAGCAATTTTATGCAACAAAAACGAAGTTGAAGGCATCACAATACCACATTTCAAGACATACTACAGGGAAGTCATAATCAAAACAGCCTGGTACTGATATAAAAATAGATGAATGGAACAATGAAACAGAACAGAAACTCCAGAAATCAATCCAAGCATCTACAACCAACGTAACTTCAACACAGGAGCTAAAATCAATCCCTGGAGCAAGGACAGTCTCTTCACAGATGGTGCTGGGAAAACTGGATCTCCACATGCAGAGGAATGAAGCAAGACCCCTACTTACACCTTACATAAAAATCCACTCAAAACGGATGAAAATTGGGCCATCTGGGGAGTGAACCAGAAGATGGAAGACTTTCTCTATTTCTCTGCCTCTCCTTCTCTCAAGTAAATAAATAAAAATCTTAGAAACAAGAAAAAAAAGCTAGTATTTTGAGTGTTAAAGTGAGCATGGGGATAGGATTAAGTAGATAAAGGGATCATACAGACAGGATTAAGTGTTAAAGTGATCATTTAAATAGGATTAAATGTTTGGTAATAAAGTAAAAAGGAGTGAATGCTCCAACAAAGGAAGCAGTCCATACAGCAAAAACTCAGAATGACAATCACTTTACACAGCACTCTGACCTCAGAATCAGCCCTTAAGGCATTCTGGTCTGGCTGAAAAATCCGTGAGAGCACTAAAGGCATGAAAGCCAAAACACTGTACAGAGTGTCCTACATGTAGGACCTCTGTGGGTGAGACCCCAGGGGAAAGAAGTGGTCATGAAAGAAGGATGTACTTTTCCCTGAAGGGAGCAGAGAACTTCCGCTTTGCTTATGCCCTTGTCTAAATACAGAAGGAGTTAGTGGATTCAAAAGGCTTCCACAGTCTAGGCAGCTCATGTCAAGAGCCTCAGGGATCACTGACATCATACATATGAGTGTTAATTTTTAAATGAACAGGAGTCACTGTGCACTAACTTCCCATGCAGGACCTCTGTTCTCAAAGAGCTGGATTGAGAGTTGATAGTAAAACTTGTTCATAAAGATTTACTTTGTTTTAATGTATTGATGGAGTGATAGAAATGTTTGTTCAATATTTTTATTGCAGAAGGTTAAACAACTGCAAGTGCTCTGTTAAAATTCAAATATTCTAATCAGAGTCCTACTATGTGTAATTTATAGCTCATTTAAAAAATTATCACACTTCTCAAGAAATATACACACACATCTAACACACAAAATGTTGTCTTAGGCCTAAAAGAATATTCATATCCTAAATTGAAATGTGTAATCCAATTTTATCATTTTACTTAACAATAATTAACATTGCTTTTTGATAGTCTAACTTACTATCTAGTTAAAGGGAAAAAAAAAAAAAGACCATCAAGCCTTTTCCTATTCACACTAACCTGATACGGTGTATTTTGTTGTTTAGACTGTCTTACGGCAGCTGCTGCTCCACCATACATTGTTTTCCCAGGATAAAAAGGAGAATCTCCAAGCTGACTTGTTTTAAGGATTGAAGAATTCCCAAGTGACTGCACAGAAACACAATGACAAACTGTAAGCAAGAAACTCAACTAATATGATTAAATCCAATCCAGTTAGTACTCACAGGGGAAAGCGTTCCAAAAGCAGACAAATTGAATGCTGGTTTTTTTGAGTTGGTGGCAGTGTGCTGTGAGAGTGAATGAGAACTTTCAGCTTCTGGGGACCACAGAGGTGGCACTGAAGTGTTCTTTGAGACAGCTATGTCTGAAACAAAAATATGTAATGCATATTAATAGCACCAGTTACAAGACCCTAGATTTTTATAAAAAGAAAATGAAAATTAAAGCTATTGGGGAAAAAAATTATCCCATGAAATCTAATTTTATTACCAAACACCAAGAATACCTTTATCAGAAGCTCTTGAAGAAAAACCACTGGTAGTTGAGATGTTATCATCCTCATGCTGAGAGGTAGAATCTTTAATTTCCTTCACAAGGGAAAATCCAGAACTGCCAATTGGGAATGCAGAGGATGTGGATGGCTGACAGTGTAATGCAGGGGATTCCAACATAGAGAAATTCAGATGGCTCCGATGGAGAGAAGGCCTTGTTAATACATCTGGATAATTTGACGCAGTACCAGTTGTTGAAGGTTCTTAAAAGAAAAGCATCAAGATTATGCATATACAACTCAGAAAAAGCAATACCCTACTATCACAGTAAAATGTTCGTCAAGAAAACACACCACACAATAGAGCTTCTAATGAAACCACTGAGGCCTCCCATGATAAGCCCAATTTAAAATATACTTTAGCCAAACAAGGTTCCAACTAACTTAAATTAGCCTAATGTCAAGTTGTAGTGCAATGATCCCATACATCTTCTAAAGTACTTGGTTTCCTATCTTCCCTTGATCAGCTGTTATTGTAAAACTTGCTCATAAAAAATAAAATCAAAGACATCATATAAAGTCACAGCAGTGACAGCAGTTAAGATACCACTTGGGACACCAGCACCCTATTATGGAGCACCTCAGTTCAAATCACAGCTCCACTTCTACTTCTAGATACCTGCTAATGTGCAGCCTGGAAGGCAGCAGATCATGGCTCAAGTAATTGGGTCCCTGCCACTGGGAGACCTGGACTGAGTTCCAGGCTCCTGGCTTCATCCTGGCCCAGCTCCAGCTGTTCTGGCATTTGAGCAGTTAACCTAAAAATGGAAGCTCTGTTTCTATCTCTCTGTGTTTCAAACAAGATGAAAATAAATAAGCAACAAAAAAGATTTTAAAAAAAAAGTCATAAAATAGGCCAAAGTGTGTCCCTCCAGAATTACCAATAAACTTGTACATTTTCTTGGTATTTTATATGCATATAAAAACACATTTTCCCTAAATACACAATTTGTGCATACAAATGTGCCTCCTATTCTATGATTTTTCACTTATCAGTAATTTTATTTCTACAAAGTACGTTTTCAAAACTATATATTACTATTATACCAAAACAGTGATTTACTAGTTATTCAATTATTTTCTCATTCCAGCAAAATATATGCACTTATATATGTATTTTTTCAGTACCTTTTGGATGAATCCACAGTTTTCCACTTAAAAGTATGTAAAATAATCATAAGAATCATAAAGAAAAACTATTAAACACATATCCCTAAGCAATCCACAAAAAATATGACTCAGTGTCTGACGTTGGACCCATAAATCAGCCTAAATTGTATCAGGTATCATGAGAACCAATACAATAAACAACTATATGTGGAACTGCTCTGTCATAACCAATCAGTCTGCATGTTCATTTTTTGCTTATGACAAATAATAAACTGATTCAAAATATTTTCTGAAAGCTAAACTCCCGCAAATGGCATACATTTCACCATAATCTACAACAATGGATATGTTTTTCTGATTTCTGTCCATCAATCAAATTTTGATTTTCGTTTTATTATTTTGTTTTGAGCATCCTTCCCTGTGTTATTAACCGTATTATTTCTCTTGGTCACTGCTTATGATAAAGGTGCACCAATAAAATCAAATGTGCTTGATCACTAAAATCAATGTAATATAACAACAGTAGTTGAAGTACTAAATTCATTTATTTTCTGGCTGGCTGAATCCAACTTTTTAATTTTGATTTTTTATTTAGTTAAGAGGCAGACAGAAAGAGTGCTCCCATTTAATGGTTCATTCCCTACATAACTGCAATAGCTGAGGCTAGGCCAGGACTGACAATACAATCCTGGTCTCCCATGTAGATGGTAGGAAATCAGTAACTCTGAGGTCTGCAATCAAGTGAAGTGGGAGTCAGGAACCAGAGCTGGAAATAAAACCGACATATTCTGATGTGGGATGAGGCTGTCTTAAGCTAAACATCTGCTCTCCATTCACTTCTCTTAGTGCTGTCTTTTGTAATTCAGAAAATAACTTGTACCTTATTTAGAGTCTTTTGCCATGTCAATACTATAAAAACTAAAAACTTTTATTCAATTTTTGGACTATTATTATTTCAATATAATGTTTACTCTTTTTATTTTTAAGATGTATTTATCTTGAAATGCAGAGTCACAGAAAGAGGGAGAGATGGATCTTCCTTCTGCTGGTTCACTTTCCAGACAGCTGCAGGCCAGGGCTGGACCAGGGGGAAGCCAGGAGCCAGGGGCTCCTTCCAGGTCTCCCATGTGGGTGGCAAGGTTCCAGACAATTGAGCCATCTTCTACTGCTTTCCCCATGCATAGAGCTAGGTCAGAAGTGGAGCAGCTAATATGAACCAGTGTCCATTACATGATGCGGGTATCACAGGTGGTGGCTTTACCTGCTACACCACAACACCTGCCCCTATGTTAACTCTCAACTTCATCTGGAATCAGTTAAAACATAGGAGTAAATGAAAGATTCAGTTTGTTTTCCAAAAGGTAAAACTATTTGTATCCTAATCCCTTCCTCACTGAGTGTTACCATCACTACATATTAAATTCCAAGAGGCTTTAACCCCTCTTTCCTCCAATGATTTATCTGTACTTTTCTGTACCAATACTATATTATAATATTTTAAATCATCTAGCTTTAGAACACATTTAGTGTGTGTTAAAGTTACTCTTCCCCTTACTCTAATCTTTCAGAATTTCTCTATAACTTCAGGTGTATTTCCAAGAACTTTAAATCACTCAAGTTTCCAAGTCTCCCAGCTAGGATGGAGTAACTGAAACCAGACTAGCTCTTCTACTCTAAACAATATAAAACTGAAGAAAATAAATGAAGTAACTGATTTTATTTTTTTATTTAAAGATCTGGGTTTTTTTGGGGGGGGGGTGGGGGGGATAGTGAGAGAGAGAAAGATATTCCATCCACTGGTTTACTCCCCAAATGGTCACTAAGGCTAGAGTTGGATCAGGCTGAAGCCAGTAGCCCAGAAATCTAACTGTGTTTCCCTCATTCGTGGCAGGGGCCCAAGTACTGGGTCATCATTTGTTGTATTCCCAGGCTCATTAGCAGGGAACAAGATCAGAAGTGAAGCAGCTGACACTTGAACCAGCACTCCGGTATGGGATGGAGGCATCACAAGTGGCAAATTAACCAGTTGTACCAAAATGCCAGCCTCAGTAACTGCTTTTATACTGTGGAAAACTCATATGGTGAGCACTACAATTATCCTGCTCTGTCCAAGAACATTTTCAGACCCGAACACAGACCTGGAATCCAGGCAAAACACAGTAGGCAGAAATCAGAATTAACATCATCAGAGTAGGGAATTGCCAAGTGAGGCCTCCAGGAGTCCACACTGACATGTCCAGTGAGGAATGGAGTCACACCACCAAATGATTACCAATAGCAGCTGCTATAGAGTTCAAAAAAGACAGTAGGAGCAAGTTTAGGCTAGCAGTCAAGACACTGCGTTCCACATTGGAGTACCTGGGTTTGGTTTCCAGCTTTGGCTCTGACTCCATCTTCCCACCTCATCCTAGCCTCGGCCATTGCAGGCATTTGGGGAGTGACCCAGCAGATGGGAGCGTTCGCACTCTCTCAGCTCAAACAGATAATTAAAAAGAAAAGAAAAGAAAAGTAAAAAGATTCTACAAGGTGAGCAGTTCAGAAGAAAGAAAACAGTGCTGAGGACTCTAAGTCCCAGGGCTACCAGAACTTGGATTTCATTAATATTTTTTTGGTATTCAGCTGAGACACCAAAAAGCTTCCCCTTGGAATTGAGGACCATGTCCTAGAATAAGGCCCACTGCAGATCCATTCTAAAAGCCACAGAGGTGATAGTTTAAAGTTCTACCACATACAGTGCTAGAAAACACCTTGGACTTTCCAAAAATACACATTATCCACAGCATAAAACTACCATCTACAAGAGTTCAAAATAATCACTTAGTGACTGAACTGCCTGCTAAAACAAGAACCATCATTCTTCAGAGGAAGAGGACATAATCCAGAGTCTTTATCCACTATTCAAAATGCCAAATATTTAGCCAAAACTAATTTGATAGACATAAAAAAGAATGTGCTCCACAGTGCCAGGAAAAGAAGTAGTCAACAGAAACCTTAACCTAAGACAGCAAAGATTTCTAGAGTGCTTAGCAAAGACTTTAAATTCACTATTTAACTTTGTGATCAACTTCTAGAATTCCCTTGTTCTAATATATATCCTCTTATCTAACTACATGTTTAATACCCAAAAGTGATGATGCTGAAGGGTTCTAACTCCTGACCTTAATGAGAATGCTTCTAATGTTTCACCATTAAATGTTTCTGGCTTTTGGCTTAAGACAGCCATGTTAAGCAAGTAGCAGCATCTAAACACAGGAAGAGAAGGGGAGGGGAGGAATGTTGGCCGGGCCTGTGGGTTGGCATCCCATATGGGCACCAGTTCAAGTCCTGGCTGCTCCTCTTCCAATCAAGCTCTCTGCGGTGGCTTGGGAAAGCAGTAGAAGATGGCCCAAGTGCTTGGGCCCCTGCATCCCCATGGGAGACCAGGAAGAAGCACTTGGCTCCTGGCTCCAGATCAGCACAGCTCCAGCCAATGCGGCCATTTGGGGAGAGAACTAGCAGATGGAAGACCTTTCTCTCTGTCTCTCCCTCTCACTGTCTGTAACTCTACCTCTCAAATAAATAAATTTTAAAAATCTAAAAAAAAAATTGTTGGCAAGGATGTGCAAAAAAAAAAAAGCAAACTTTATGTACTACTGGTAGAAACCAAATGAAACAGCCACTGTGCAAACAGTATGGTGATTTCTCAAAAAAAAAAAAAAAAATCAAAGATAGAATTACCATAAGATCCCTATCAATTCCACTTCTAGGCAAGGTCTCCAAGGGATTTGCATACCATGTCCTAGCATCATTATTCACAACACCTAAAAGTTCTGTGGAAGCAACTCAAATGCCTACCAGATGAGTGGATAAGCAAACTGTAGTATAGATACTCAATGGTATACTGTTCAACCTTAAAAAAAAATTTCAATAATGCTACAATATGAATGAACTTGAAATCATGCTAAGTGAAATAAGCAAATAACAAAAGGGTAAATTTTCTATGTTTCCACTCACAGGAGGTATTTAATCAAAGCCATAGAAAAAGATGGCTAGGGAGAATGTATATATTGTTCAATAGGTTCCAATGTTCAGTTGTGCAAGATGAAAACAATTCCACAATGCACAGTACAGATGGTCACACAACGATGCTAATGAACTCAAATGCCACTGAACTATGCACTTAAATTACAAGTATATCTTTACCATAATTTGAAAAACATTTTATTGAAAGTAATGTGTACAAAGAATGGTGATGATTCTTTAAAAATATCTATTTTAATAATCCAATAAAATATCTAAATTGGAGCAAGAATGGTAACTGATGAGACTGCTAGGCAGTCAGTGATCTCCCCATAGGGGCACCAATTTAAACAGCTATTCACACTCTGAGCCAGCTGAACAAGAGACAAGAAAGCCTCTATGGTATTACTGTGTAGGACCTCTCTCTTGGGGTCCAGGATACCTAAATACCTAAGTTCAAATCCTGACTCTAGATTGCCATGCCTCTGACCCTGGACCAATTACTTCACCTCCTTGTGCCCATTTCTACATTTGTAAAGTAGAGCTCAGGGCTCAGGCTGGAGAAGCTCAACCAACAATTATCCAGTGGAAGCCCAAAGCCACCCAGAAGCCCCTGTGGCATGTCCAAGACTCTATGACTCCACGTTAGAATACATCTCATACTTGATAGTCACTGTGCAAGTTGACAGAAATATAGGACCAGGCCCTAAGCATCTCTCAAACTGAGAATTTTTGTTGCAATTCCCATGCAGACAACAGCAAGCCATCATGCTAGACAGAAAATATAAGAATAAAGCCCAGAAGACTTGAGGACATCATGATTCATCCTCTTCTGATTTATTTTTCTTGAAAAGACATAATGGGGCTGGCACTGTGGTGTAGTGGGTAAAGCTGCCTCCTGCAGTGCCAGCATCCCATATGGGCACCGGTTCGAATCCTGGCTGCTCGACTCTCTGCTATGGCCTGGGAAAGCAGTGGAAAATGGCCAAGTCCTTGGGGCCCCTGCACCTGCATGGGAGACCCAGAAGAAGCTCCTGGCTCCTGGCTTTGGATCAGTGCAGCTCCAACAGTTTCAGCCATCTAGGGAGTGAACCAGCAGATGGAAGACCTCTCTCTCCCTCTCTGCCTTTGCCTCCATGTAACTCTGCCTTTCAAATAAATAATCTTTAAAAAAAAAAAAGTATTTTTACTTATTCCATTCTCTCAACCCTGTATTAAGTTTATCATACAGAGTGAACGCAACAGGACTGTGTTCCAGCTATTGGCAGATCTGCTAAACCTACTATATTCAAAAACTACTGAGGAAAAAAAATTTGATATACTTCTGCTTGAAGTTATGCTGCTAAGAACAATGCCAGTTTTGGGTATATACAGGGTTCCCTTACCTTGCACAGCAGGCCCAATAAAGAACAGTTTGGGGTAACAAGATTAAACAAGGCTGTATCATCTACGATTCACAAAAGCCATAAATACTCAGCTTCTATGAGTAAAACTATAATCATCCTACTATCAATCAAGCAAAGCAGCCTATAGCCTCAATCCATTGTTGACTCATGTACTAGATATGTCACTTTGCAGCTTTTAGAGGCCTGAACTCTTGTGAGTCAATGAAATTTTGAGAGGTACATTGTTTGAGGTTTTCCTCACTTGTCCATTCTACTATCCTAGCAGAAGAAGTACAGACACACAATGGTTCACCATCATTAACAGAGTCAAGAAGAGAGGGATATGGGTGGAAAGCTACTGGCAACAGACTTGAAACCGACCAGATTCTGTTACTGCACTGGGTTACCTGAATGTTCAATACTCTCCAGTCCACCGTTACCATTAATATGAAAGTGATAGTTGGCCGGCGCCATGGCTCAATAGGCTAATCCTCCACCTTGCGGCGCCGGCACACTGGGTTCTAGTCCCGGTCTGGGCGCCGGATTCTGTCCCGGTTGCCCCTCTTCCAGGCCAGCTCTCTGCTGTGGCCAGGGAGTGCAGTGGAGGATGGCCCAAGTGCTTGGGCCCTGCACCCCATGGGAGACCAGGAGAAGCACCTGGCTCCTGGCTTCGGATCAGCGCGGTGCACCGGCCGCAGCGCACCAGCCGTGGTGGCCATTGGAGGGTGAACCAACGGCAAAAGGAAGACCTTTCTCTGTCTCTCTCTCTCACTATCCACTCTGCCTGTCAAAAAAAAAAAAAAAAGTGATAGTTGTAAAATTATTCAATAAACATTTCAGGTAAGTTATTTTAGCTTTCCTTAACAACTACTTCAAACAGTAGATAATGGTAAGTTTTCTTGAAATGTACTTCAAATTTACATGCATCTAGTAACATCTACATTACTGGTGGCATGTTAAGTCACATACTATGTGACTGAAGGTATTAAATAAATACTTATTTTTTTTTGGACAGGCAGAATTAGACAGTGAGAGAGACAGAGAGAAAGGTCTTCCTTCAGTTGGTTCACTCCCCAAATGGTCGCTACAGCTGGCGCGTTACCCTGATCCAAAGTCAGGAGCCAGGTGCTTCCTCCCAGTCTCCCACGCGGGTGTAGGGCCCAAGCACTTGGGTCATCCTCCACTGCACTCCCGGTCCACAGCAGAGAGCTGTACTGGAAGAGGAGCAACTGGGACAGAATCCGGCGTCCCAACCAGGCCTAGAACCCGGGGTGCCAGCGCCGCAGGCGGAGGATTAGCCTAGTGAGCCGTGGCACTGGCCAGTATTAAATAAATACTTTGAGAAAGGTCAAGGCAGACTGTAAGAACTACCAGACTTATAGGACTTAGGTGTAGGATTCAGATCTAGATAAGATACAGCAGGGGAAAATGCCATCTACTTTTTGAAATAGATATCAAAAAGTTGCCCACATTATACTTCTAAGCAATCAAGGAATTGAGGTGAGAAGTGGGCAAACAGGTGTAGGAATACAGAAAACATGATCAGCCATACGTTGACTGTTGTTGAAGCTGGGTGTTCACAGTCACCAGCTCTCTACTTCTGTAGTTTGAAATGAAGCTGATTCCATTCTTTGATGAAAACGAAAGCACATACAAAAGACCTTTACAGGCACAGAACGAGAAACTCCCTGTGAATCTTAAACTAACTTCTTCTCTAGTTAATCTGTACAATATGTTCCTTAGAATGCTAAAGATGGTTTTTGTCACTACGGATATACTAGTGCACACTAGAAATCTCTTACCAAAACAAAGAGAAAAGCTGGGGTCCTATTTCATGGTGGGAAAAGAAAACAAAATGGAAGCAGTTTACAGATCTACCAAAGACTCAAGATGACTGTTGGAAATTTATTTGAAAGAAATTTTAGATATTAAAACTAAAGTTATTCTAATAAAAATGAACAGAAAACAAAGACTATGTGCCAAATCAGGTTATTACTAAGAAATCAGATTTGCCATTTCTCCAAAATAATCATCCAAGTTCAATTTATTGGTTTTTTTCCCCCACTATAAGTAATTCAGACAGGAAAACATGTTAGCAAGTACATTATAATTAACAGGTTGTGCACAATGTCAATTCTTAAGACAAGATTTAACATAAAGTTAGAAAAAATGTAAATATAAGTGACAAACATGTTTTCAAAAATGTAATGAAAGAACCTGGTAAGGAGAGATAAATTAGAATTCATCAACTTTTAAAACTTAACGCTTCAAAGGATTCCATCAAAAAAGTGAAAAAACAACTCACAGAATGGAAGAAAATAATTGCAATTATCAGTTACATGGGGCCATATTCTAAAACACAAAAATCTCTTACAATTCAACAATAGAAACAACCCATAAGGAATGGAGGAAAGGGAGATTTGAATAGCTTTCCTCAAATATAAACAAATGGTCAATAAGAACTTTAAAAGATGCTCATAGTCACTAATATGGACAAAGGTAAATCAAAATTAAAACCACAGTGAAACACCACTGCACCCACTTAGTATAGCTACAATCAAAATAAACTAAAAGTAAGTATTAGTATTGTTCAGGATATAAAGAAACTACTACCTTCACACGCTTCTAATGTGAAGGTAAGGTGCAGCCCCTTGAAAAACAGCTCATCAAAATGTTCAAAACAGAATAATCATAGGAGCAGTTGGTACTGTAGTGCAGCAGGTTAAACTGCTGCTTGTGATTCAAGTAGCCCATATCAAACTGCCAGTTCAAGTCCCAGCCACTCTGCTTCCAATCCAGCCAGCTGCCTGCTAATGTGCCTGGGAAGGCAGCAGATGAGTCCAAGCAGTTGGGCCCGTGCCACCCATGTGGGAGATCCAGATGTCATTTCTGGCTCCCAGCTTCAGCCTGGCACAGACAGGGCTATCGCAGCCACTTAAAGAGTGAACCAATAGATGGAAGATCTCTTTCTCTCCCTTTCTGTTGCTTTGCATTTCAAATAAACAAAAGTTTTTTTTTTTGTTTTTTTTTTTTTTTTTATTTTAGTTTTTGACAGGCAGAGTGGACAGCGAGAGAGAGAGACAGAGAGAAAGGTCTTCCTTTGCCGTTGGGGAA